ATATACAATTGTTTAAGTGCAACGTCGTAGGGTAGGGAAAAATACCAATTTCAATGTTGCGCGTAGTCAAAACTAGTCGGAAGTCGGAATTTTGTTACTTGGGTAAAGTCCACCGCTGGACGTAGGCCTCCCTCGTTTGCTTCCATTTTTTTTTATATTCTATCTTGAGCTATTTGCATCCAGTTACTGTAGATAAGCCTTAAGTCGTCATGCCATCTAGTTGGAGGACGGTCTCTGCTCCTGAATGCATCATGTCTTGGTCTCCGTTCTATTATTTTTTTCGTCCATCGGTCATCGTTTAGCTTTGCTATGTGCCCTGCCCAATTCCACTTCAAAGTAGGTAATTTTTCTATGGCATCCATGACTTTTGTTCTGTCTCGTACTTCGATATTCGGTACTTTGTGTCTCACAGATAGCCCCAACATTGATCTTTCCATTGCGCTTTGCGTTATTCTGAATTTGCTTAGTGTTTTCTTGGATGATATTAGGGTCTCCGCACCATACGTTAGAACAGGTAGTACGCATTGATTGAATATCTATATTTGGAAATATTGAAAACTAACATATGGGAAGTGCCCCTGTGAAAATGTATTTCAATCGTCCATAGGCGGCCCAAGTCAGTCCTATTCGTTTGTTAAGCTTGCAAGTTTGGTATTTCGTGTCCCAACCCAAGTAGCATCTCTCTGACTTCGAACTAAATCTGACCTGAAGCGACGTCAGACTTTGTGCAAATTTAGGTCGGGTGCTGGTGATACGACTGGTGACGTCGCTTTCCTATTAAAAGTGACGTCGTTGGATCCCAGTCGGTAAATCCAACGATCTGTCGACGTACAAAATAACAACGTACCATTTTTATTAATTTCCCAACGTCGCTCCAACGTTGGCTTGCACGACGTACCTATACTTGAACTAGCCCGACGTCTACCCGTTGTCCGAATAGGATACGTCTCACTGATAATCCCTAAAGTAACGTCCAATTATATTTTGTTGTATTTTATGTTCATATTTTTAACTTAATTTACGTATCTCTATTTACGTCCGTAAATACAACACATTAAGTAGCATTTGCGGCCTAATAAACATCACGAACATAACCTAATAAAAAGTTTTTGTAAACAAACTTAATTTTTTTATTATGCCTAAAAAACACTAAAAAGGCATTTAGACATTCATCTACATTTTACAGAAAGAGGTCGAGGCTTTTGCAAAATAATAATAGTAGTAGTGATGTCTTCCCTCCGCCCACGAATGCTTTTTATCCGGAAGAGATGCTGCATTACAATTGCAATATAAGATGCAACTTAATTTCATTTTTTAGCTTAGGAAACCAGCAGACCCCATCCTCCTCCCACATGTGAGGTACTGGTTCCAATTTTTTTAAATTTTGTATATACTATCTTAAAGAAGTGGCTGCCCATTGATTTAAAGAGAAAACAAAAACTAAAATATAGTTGCCAAATCCACAAATCACTGATACGCAAAGTGAGGTTACGTGGCGTACGTTGGAATTATATACGTCATAATACGATTGCCGGTCGTCCGGTTTGATGTACTTCGGTCGTGTGAGACGACTAATGTTGGAGACCCGGTCGAAATTGGTATATTGGTAGTTCATATTAAGTCGGACACAGAAATCCGCCATTCTTAACAGGTATCCGATTGTCAGCCATTTTAAAATCGTTTTTTGTTTTTAAAATTTATATTCACATTCCGATTTCTAGTAGAATAATATTGATAAGGTTGAGTTTGGGGGGAACCACAGTACAGTTTTATGATCAAACCAGCTAAAAAATAAAAAAAAATATTTTGCGAGTTACTTTTTTATAGATATTTTTATTTCATAAATCTACCTACTTTTGAAGACGCTCGTTGTTTTCCGGAGTATTTTAATCAGATATATCAAAAAAGTGACTTCCGTTGACAAAACTGATGTCTGGATTAATGATTCAGAATTATTATAATATGAAATTAGGTAGGCACTTATAGTTATATTCGAGGAGTGATTATGAATCCATTTGTAATTAGGTAGTTTGGTTAGGTTTTTATGTATTCTTGGTAGCGAATATGAAACCAAACGTAACGTAAGTGCTTAGCGACGAATTTTAAGTGGCTAAAATCCAACGTAATATGACGTTGGTAATTGGTAGAATTACATTCCCTATTAGGTCAGATACCGACGTCGAGGCGACCCGAATCTGTATTCTCCATTTAGGTGCAAATAAGGGTCGTCAGGCGGTCGAACCGACGTTGGTACCCGACGTCGGGTTTATTGAACGCGACGTATACCCGACGTTAGATAACGTCCAAATGCTACTTGGGAAGTACCTATTTGGGACATGAATGACTTAAAAAGCATAAAAGTCAATGTTTTTCAATGCAAATGTAGCTTTAAAAAGGGAATTGCTATTACTACTGCATTTCAAAGGAACGAGTACCAATATTTTTAGAGCTTTCGATACTAATAGCAGATTGGGGAATTTTCTAATGCATTTGACCAAAATTTTAGCTCGCAAAATATAACTATTTCGGGATAACTGTCAATACTCCTGCTATTCTGGAACGTAATGTTTGAAATATTTCTCCGGATAGAGCTCTTAGTGGGGATTTTTCTTTATCTAATCTATTCTGCAAAAAAAAACGAGGCACAAGAAAGTACAAGGAGGTAAGAAAATTGAAAAAAAATGAATTACATATTTGACTGAAAAATAAACAAAACCAAACAATAATTGTTTAAAACGACTAAAAAACTACTTTACAAGAGTTACTTTACTTACTTTCTTGTAGAGATTGTAATCAGAAATATGTTGGGCAAACTAGAAGATCAATATTAATTAGATTTAAAGAACATTTGGCTCAGATAAGATATGGTAGACCGGATAAATCTTGCATTGCCGAACATATTGTTGATAAAGAACATTGTATAGATCTTCATAATTTAAAATTAATTAAACAAGTCTCAAATTACAGGCAATTAGATGCATATGAAAGCATCAGAATTAATAAATGTAAAGATAGTATGAACAGAGACAACGGTCCAATTCCTTCAAGTTCTTTGTTCCTACTACTCTAGTGGCGGAAATCTAACTGTTACGCTCAGTGGGCTCTGACTCGGTTGGCTAGTTTTTGCCACGCCCACTCGGTGCCCACTGGGCGAGTATATAAACGCTCAACTTGTAGATTGTATTTTAATTTATAATCATCTGATGATGATGCTAACATGGTTAGCGAAACGCGCGTCCAATGTAAAAGTAAAAGTGTTTTGGTGTATTTTGGTGATTTAGTGTTTGTATTTTACAATTTTTACGTTTAGTTTATCAATGATATGGTCTACTTTCGTTATTTTTAGCCTTTTTTCAAACTCCTTTAACTTTTAAACCAACCAAAAAGTAAGTTAAGCAGAACGGTGGATTAAATGAACTTTATTTCTATCCTCGACGGCAAAAGATTTTCTAAAAATTATCTGTAAGCTCTCGTAAAAATTCGATCAATAAGAACTCTAATTGGATTGGATAGTGAAATCGTTTTATAAAATAAGAAAAAGACAATTTGAACCGTATATTTTGTGGAAAATTTGTTTTACTGACAACTGAATTTTATGCAGCAGAAAAAAATGCAATTCGATTGTACTAGCTGACCCACTGGAGTTAAAATAAAAAAATCTCAGGAATTTGTCGAAAATGGAAACTTATCCTACACCAGAGAGATTATATATTCCTATTAATTGATGACTGCAGTGTGCAATCGCCAATTAATAGAATGCTTAAATGCTCCTGATCTCTCTAGTTTTTGAGCTTTTGATTTTATCTATTAAAAAGAGACCTAAAAATGCTCTAAGTTAACCTAATATGGTCACAAAACTTCATTTCAACGCAAACTCTCGTTCTCTTTAAAGCCTGCGCGTCACATGAGAGGCTTTGGGTTAAATTTAACTAGGAAAAAACAAGGCTTAAGCGAGTTCTTCCAGTAAATCGAGAAATTCTTTCAATTTTAATGGTACGACTTGTTTCTTTCAATATTATTCCCCAACTTCACCTAGAGATCTATTCCTCTATTCGAATTGCCCTAGCCAATTCCCAGTCGGCCTATTCCGAGCTAGCCTATTATATTAAATCAATAGCGTAGCAGGAATTCTTTCTGCCGGAATCTTGAATTCGAAATTTATGGCTGAACGGACAAAAATGGTTCCGCTCCGATACACTTCGTTTCGACGAGGAATTAATGAGGGAATCGGCAATTTCGGAATAACGGCCGCTATAAAATCGAATATTTGTATGTAATAGAATTTTTAGTGTGCTGCTTGTGTGGAATTTTAAATATTTTATTTGTTATTTATTAAAATTGATACAAGATCTGGTATTATTGTCTGTTTATTATTATATTGTTGAAAATAGTCACTGATACATTTTACTGGAACGTTGTCAAAGTTAATAGTAAATAGTAATTTCAAAATTCTTACTACAATATCAGATCAGAAGCTTAGCGCTCCGCCGCTTGTATACAGGGTTATTCACCACATACGACACAGAGTATTGTAGATAACAAAATTGGCGCCAGGAGGCATGTATAGGCGCCCATACTAAACTATGTTAATAAAAAGTTGGTAGGCAGTTCTTTTAGTTTCAAAGTAAAGGAATTTTTCCAATTTTAGTCCGCGGTTATTTCCCCTATCCGCCACCTGGGGTCGCGTCCGATGGGAGTTTGGAGTTCTCCACACGGATTTTCTCAAAAACAGACTACGGAAACAAGGAATATCTCAAAAACTGCGACTGATTTTGATGTTATTACAAATTTTGTTGCAAATATTATTCCTAATCTTAAATTGAAAACCGCGTTTCGGTAGCTCCTGTAATTTTGGAGTTACGATTTTTTAAAAGTTTTCACAAACTAAATACTTGACTACGATTCTACAACCGAAAGTCGGCGACACAAACTCTTATGTGAAGGACTCAACGCATTTCGTCCAAAAGCTAAAAGATCTAAAACTGGAACCATCTGACATCATGGTAAGCTTCGATGTGGTATCGCTATTCACGAGAGCACCCCTAGGCGAGTCAATGGCTCTAATCAAGGAATCATTCACACCTGCCATCGCAGAGCTCTTCCGAGTGTGTCTGACTGGTAGCTATTTCTTAGGAAACGGCAATTATTACGAACAAACAGACGGTGCCGCAATGGGTAGCCCAATCAGCCCAATAATTGCTAATTTCTTTATGGAGAGATTTGTAGAAAAAGCGCTAGAGTCATCCGTTCTGAAGCCCGCTGTAAGGTTTCGTTATGTGGACGATACATTTGTGGTTTGGAAACATGGACGTGACAGCCCAGATGACTTTCTTCATCACCTTAATTCGCAGAGCCCAGGGAATTTTACCATGGAAACCGAAGTAAGTAACCAACTGGTGGTAAGATTTATTTACCATGGAAACCGAAGTAAACAACCAACTGGCCTTCCTCGATGTGCTTGTCAACAGAAATGGCGACCATTTAGATCACACGGTGTATCGAAAACCCACTCATACAGACCGGTACTTACACAAACTATTAAATCACCATCCAAGCCAAAAACAAGGGATTATCGGATCATTAGCAAATAGGGCAAGACGTATCTGTGCTAATGAACACATCCAAGAGGAACTGAGCCATTTAAATAAAGCATTTCTTGCCAATGGCTATAATGACAGAGAAATAAAGGCGGCGTTGGCACCTAGGCAGAGGAAACCTGACGTCAATGAAGGCCTTCCTTCCATATGTTTCCCAGGTCACCGATAGGATTGGTAAAGTTCTCAAGAAGTATAAGATCAAAACCATATACAAACCTTCCCGGAAAATAAAGGACTGCTTAAGACCAGCCAAAGACAAAAGAGAACCATTATCCTCTGCAGGGATCTACCGTATACCTTGTTCTTGCGGTAGCGTATATATTGGAACTACCAAACGCTCAGTAGGAACGAGACTTACGGAACACAAGAGAAGCTGCAGATTAGGGTAAACAGAGAAGTCAGCCGTAGCAGAACATGCTCTAAGAGATGGTGACCACAAAATCCAATTCGAAGACACCCAAGTCATTTCCACAACATCTGGATATCATCATCGTCTGGTCAGGAAAGCTGTTGAAATTCACCAACATCCAAATAATTTCAACAGTAAGGAAGAAACTTTCTACTTTAACAGAATTTGGCATCCAGCTATATCTAGGACCAAAGTAGCAGCACAGAGAAGTAGACCAGTTCCGGAAGAACTACCACCCGAACAAGCCACGCCCCCTCCGCCGACGCATATATACGCGCTACGCCGACGCGGAAGCATCAGTCTAGTGTGAGCAGTCGGAGCAAACACACCTCTGAAGATGCTAGCCACTCATGCTAGCGAAACGTTATGAAGCAATTCTAACCGACCACGGCCTAATAACCCGAAAAACTAAAATTCTTTACCCTCCTTCCATTTGAAAAAATTGAGATATAATTAAAAATACGATTTGAGCATCTTTTAACCAGCCAGAGCAAAATACACGATCAAATCAATTTTTCCGAAGCTCCTTTATCAAAAATTAGTGTTTTTAACTCAGCCCTGGCACTTCCAAGTAAGAAGTTTCACTCCAAATATGCGCGCATAGTGCACACACATTTTTTTATAATAAGAGCAATAGAGATGTCAGACACATCTCATGCTGCACGACTCTGTATTTCACTCCAATCCATTCCTATAACATCTTCTTTAAAATCGAATTTAAAGGAAAATGCAAGGCAAACATCGAATTTGAATTTTCGCCTTTGCAGAAAAACCGTCCGCCCCGATGCAGGCGGCAGCGGAGCACTGTGTCTACCGTCCCGGCTCCGGCGCTTAATGCACAAATTAGAATATTTGCTGGCGGAACGTTAGAGCGCCGCGCTAACGTATTTTAGAGAAAGCCCTTTGATGTTTTAAGTTTGTTGGCGCCACGACAAACAATTTTATCTTCACTTACAAAGAACTTGTTTAAGTGAAAATCCCTGGCCGTTATCCCAAAGTTTACGGAATTATGCCAGAAAAATAAAGAGACATTTTATTAAATATGGAATATTTAATAAAATATACCGGGTGCGTCTCGAAAGTGGCTCACCCCTATAACTTTTCTATTTTTTCAGATAAAACATCGAGATTTTGTATGTTAGTATATAAAATAAATTAGAATTGATTGGCGTATTCATTCTGTTTTACCGGAAATGACAACAACTTTCGATTTTCAAATGGCACCCTCGGTATTTTGTTACTTTATTCCTTTGATTTGGTTTGGTTTGGACTAAGGAAGGAGCATAATGCTATCCATGTATTCATGCATGGTGGGCGGAAAAAGCACTCTAGGGTGGGGATCCTTGACAGTTCGCTTTGACGATTCATTTGACACATTAGAATTTGATTTGGAATTTTGTGGATTTGTCAGTCTTTACGGAGCTTATTTTATGTTATTTATTATTTATTCTACTACTGATAGTTGTATAAAAGTAGTAAATCTATATGGAAATGATGGCAGAACTTAAATTAACAGTGACACTATCGCGATTTATCGAAAAATACTCTAAAATAGTTGGTTGTGTAGCGTGTGGTAGATCTCGGCAAAAATCGAGTGAAATAAGGGAACAACTTTTCGTTAGTAAGTGACTATACTCTGTTTTTTTTCTCAGGTAAGATTTCGACAGACGATGACAGAAGAAAAGCAGATGGCGTCCCATATCAATCTATTTATTTTACTAAAAAAAGTTTCTAATTATTTTTAAGTTATCTATGGATGGGTTTAAATATAAATCCGTCATGCGTCGTGTCTTCTTGTTTTTAACCAGTTTTATTGGTTTATTTAAAAAATGACAGATCGTATTTCAATTTTATTGGTTTGACGGAACGATGAACGACAAACGGACGCCGATGCGTATGAACTCGCCTTTAGATTTTTGTCATTTTTGACGCTTATCAAAGTCTTGCCAAATTATAGGTTATAATTTTGTGTCAACTTTTGTTGAATACCCTGCGTTTTGGAAGATGATGCATTTTGATTCGTATTATTACGTGTGTTTTGTGTCTTTTGAAGTCAAGTGGAGGAAAAATCGAGTGAAAATTAACTGTAGACCCAGAGCACCAGTTTATGGTTAATACTCGCTGCCCAGGCAGGAAGTCTTAAACCAATGAAGTTGCCATCGATAAAGTTTGTATACCATTTCGTCGCAGATAAGTGCATCTCGTATAAGGTAGAAGGATCAAACTAAACACATACTAAAAACTGGAGTAGCTGTAAAATATCGACATCACACGATAGGCAAATAATGGATTTTAGTACTGCAGAAAAATAATGTCAAAAGGTACTGGTTTAAAAAAAATAAGATTAAAGTTAATTAATCAACCTTTAAGGTATAAAATTTGGTAGGATTTATTATTAATAAAATAGTTTGTTTTATTTACCCATGTTGTTTTATTTATTCCTGCGGAATATTACAAATTCGTATTTGTACATAAGTTATATTGATAAATATAATCATAAATGCGGGTAGTTTCATAAAGCTTGAAAGTAAATAATAGTTCTTTTTTATATTTTTTTGGTATGTAGTGTCTTGTTCTTGTTTGTTTTGTATTAACACATACCGTTTTTATTAAATAAAATAACTCGATTACATTTTTCAGTTTTATACAGTTTTTTTCACAATATTTTGAAGTAATCACTTGTCATCTTGTCAATCAAATTTTAAATATTTTCTGCTATGCGTTCCAGTTGTACCAACTTATTTCTTTGTAAAATAAAATAAACTACTTTGAAATTAAAATGACAGACACATCTATCACTGTCAAGGATCTTCTCGTTCGACAGACTATATATAATATACACATACGTGTAGTAAACCGATCATTTATGAAATTCACGTAAATTAACTAATTATATATTTTTTCTTGCATTTTTGCTTTTATTTACTACTTGTCAAAGATTAGAAGTTAACGAATTTAGATACGTCAATTTGACTTACCTGCTTCAGTAGCGCATCGGATGTTTATGGTTATAAATAATTATTATAACTTATCTATTCTTATTAGAATTTTATATTTTTATAACAATTTTAATAACTACCGACATTTATTCACAATGTAAAATAAAAAAAAAATATTGAGTCTACCCCACGTCTACCCTACATCATAGTTTTACATATTTTAAATAAAATTAGAACGGCACTGATAAACCGGAATTTAAGTCGGCCATATTTGAGGCCCATCGCGGTGGACCTAAGATTTTTGATATGTTTCTTCCTTAGTCTTCTTATACAAAGCTTTATTTGATAGAAAATGACACTCTGAATAGAACGACATATCATAGGTAGGTATATGTCAACTTTTAACATTTTCGAATATGGTTTATTTGAAATTGCAATATGCGATTCATAACGAAAATTTGGCCCGAAATACCAAGTGTGTGGTACTAAATTATTCGTAAAAAATGCTTTTTCCGAGTATGCTAATGAGCCACCTTCTTTCCATTTGAAAAAATTGAGATATTATTAAAATATACCGTTTGGGTGTCTTTCTACCAGCCAGGAGAGGACACGAAAAACATTAGACGATCAAACCTATATTTCCAAGGCTCCTTGACTAAAAATTAGTGTTTTTAACGCAGCCATGGAGAAGATTGAAATTTAAAACACGATATTTTTAAAGCCAAAATGTCAAAAGTTGCAGCGAAATAAAAACAATTGAGGGGTTTGGAAATTTGGAAAAAATAAAAAAAAACGTATGTATATCTTGCTCCCATTTAATTTTTTTTTGTGTGAGCTCTGGTTATAATCTGAAATTATAGAAAACTAGTTTTCTTTATTTCTTTCTTATTTTTAAGATAGGAAGGGCGTGAATTTGTTTGACTTGCGGGGATTTTGCTGGAATTTTGGCAAAAACCGTGGAAACAACCAAGTCCTCTTAGCAACTGTTCGAACGATTACGAAGGACAAACAACCAAACCACAACAAGTAGCAGACTATTGGGGTTTTGCCGTTAAAACTTGTGACTTGTGGGGTTCTTTAGGAATTACGGTATTTTTGATCGTATGCACGGGCTGCCTTATAGCACTTTTCCCGAATTCGTTTGGTAGGAACGTTATGGCTAACAAATTACTGTCGGATAGCCATTAACTCATTTTACCCGTTTTTTGACTAATGGGTTTTTTGCCAGAAACCCCTCAATTGAATACCGTCAATCAATCCTAATTTATGTCATATGCTACCAAATCATACATACCAAATCTCGTTTTATTATCCGAAAAAAAAATAAAAAAAAGTTATAGGGTTTGAGATAGGTAGGTATACGTATAGGTAGTGATGTATAAAATCGATTGGCTATTTATTTAAATATGATTTTTAGTAAATTGATCATACTCCAATATTTTGTGTCTACATTCTTGAAATTCTTTTCGCAGACACAGCCCTAGTAGACGTAAATTATCTAGTGTGCTTTTTACTGACGAGATTTTTAGCTTGTTCCATTTCCGTCCTTTTAATTAACTATAAAAAACATTACCACGCCTGGTCATGCTCATTTTGGCTAGCCACGGAATCTACATGCCTTTTGACCCTTTCAATACAGTACTCGA